ACAGAAATGCTATTCCAGTGCGATATCTGTCATAAAGACTTCAACTCATTGCCTACTTTCAAGAAACATAACAAAGCCTTTCATTCAGTACTCAAGTTATACGTATGCAGTCGTGCGAAGTGTAGGTTTGGATGCAATAGTAGTGAAGGGTTTAGTAATCACTTGCGAGAGTGTCACCACATTTCCGATGACTTCCTACCGGTGCTCAACACTTCACCAGGTGTTACAAACATGGCTGCGACTGATATACAACAGCCGGTGATAATTAGCTCCTCGTCGCCGATCACTTCCATCCCTCAAACGAATTCAATGAATACTCCCAATGAATCCATTGAAGACAATACTGTTGATACCGGCGCCGAGACAAGTAGTCATACATTAGAATCTCATGTGAATACCACAACTGATGAGCTGACAGTGACTCCAGAAAAGCCATATAAATGTGATGTCAATAACTGTGACCAAAGTTATAGAAATGAGGTGACGCTCATTGGACACAAGTGGAGTGTCCATCGCATACCGGACCCCAAACGCAAACAAACCGCTAAATCCCAGCAAATGAGTCGTAAGAACAACAATAAGCNACAAGTGGAGTGTCCATCGCATACCGGACCCCAAACGCAAACAAACCGCTAAATCCCAGCAAATGAGTCGTAAGAACAACAATAAGCCAATGGATGCCAACACTTCTCACAAGTATTTACTATTTATTGATTTAATTGTTTATCATTTACTGTACTATTCATTGAAATTATTATTTCTGTCGTACAGTAAAAGTAAGTCGACTACCCGGCCAAAGGGCATACCATTTACGTGTGCTTTTTGTTGGAAAAAATTTCATAACGAGACCGCACTTAACGGACACACCAAAGCCAATCACACGCCAGTAAAGTCTTGGGTATCTAATGTTAGTAAGACTACTGGCGCTTCAGTGCCTATCACTAGCACTGACAAACATCCGATGCCGATACTGAGTACCGGTATTAGTTATAAAAAGTGATTTTATAAATGAACAAAATTATTTATTATTGAATATTGTTTCAAAAAAGTTTTCTTAACTTTTAATGAATATTTTTATATACGGATAAATGCGTGTGATGTATGCAATAATATTACAAGTAAATTTTATTAAAATTTTGTAAAACAGAAAATTAATATTACATAACTTACAACACAATCATTACTTTATTCATTAGTATTTAAGCTTAACATTTAGACATTAGTTTACACCTAATACGTTTTACATTAAAAAGTATTCTGCATCCGTTTAACATTTCATATTCATTATCATTAAACTTTCTAAATCTTTGAATTTATGAGTTTAAAACTAAGTTTAATAATAATATTTGTCATTCACTTGCGTCTGACTTTCAAACATAAGCCGATATATGCGATACACATATAAATCAAAGTCAAGGCCATGAGGGCTATGGGACACCACTGGAGCCCCGACTCATCGAAACCCATGGATTCAATGACTTCTACTCCAGAAGTATAAGTAGTCGTCGATTGAGTGGTGTTTGTGGTGTCGGACGACATGTTTCCCACATTTCTCCACTCGTTTACAACCAATGATTGGTATCCGTAATATGGAAATGACAAGAACTGCAACCAATCCAACCACCTTGATAGTGTGCTAAATAATTGATCATTAAATAACATTGAATGCCCAGTCAATGGTATAATATTAAATAAATTACCCGATGTTAAGGAAATATCCTCCCAATACAGTCAATGGCATCAAAAATGATCCCATTATTGCATTGGCTGTCATAAAGTCCTGGCTCAGTGTAGAGATTAAAAGTCCTATATTTATTTTAATTGCAATAAATAATTAATAATTATTATTTAAGCAATTTGATTCACATAAGGCTTTTAACTTTAGGATTTCTTAAAAATTATATAGTATTTTAAAATTAAAAATATAAAAATTATTTAACATTAAATTTTATAACATGAATAATCAAATTACCAATTAATTTATTTATTAATAAAATTTAAGTCAATACAATACTTAACCTCATTTACCCACTTTATTGACCAAGTAGAATTTAATTTTCTTAAATATACTGATATTAATAATAATTTATTACCGAAATTCCAGGCACAAATCGTGGCCAAGATAATAACACCAAGGTAAACGAAAAATGCTTGTGCACTCAGATATAAACCAACGATGAAATATAAAATCGTCACCAAGATACTAGTCAGTATTGCATTTATAGCCAACTGTTCAATGAAATATATGATATGAGTTACGCTGCAAAAGTATGTTCTCTGATCAGCACTGCAATTGTCAATATGGTATTGCTTTAACATAAAGCACTGTACAGTATCTCAAAGAACATACTTCTGCAGCGAGTGACTCATAATTAAATTTATATGAGATTCAAAATAATCTTATTATACAATCTAATAGTGTATATTTTGTTTGGTAATACTATTATTTTAAAGGTTTTACAGTATTCATATAATTTTGTTCTATTAATATGTATATTTAAATATATTTTCACAACTAGTGTACAGTACAGTGTACAAAAACCCTAAATAGTATACTATACACCCCAATGGTGTACAATTGGTCAGTCTGTTGATCAAAGTAGCTGTGCTACTTTGTAAAATAATAGTAAGTTTATAATATATGCCACTTATAAAAACTTATACTTTACTCGTAAAGCTGTTTTAAACACGTTCTCTTAGAAACCTTGATGAAAAAACACATCACTTTCGTATTATTGGTAGTGATATCATATTAATAATAAATAAATAAATACTTAAACTGAACCTGTGTAATAATGGTCGCCAACATATATGGGAACATAGCGTACGTACGGTTGTGGTGTTCCCTACAAAGTAAGGCTTCCTCTCCTATTAATGTCTATAATATAATTGAAAATAATTTTTATTTATAAATATTTTTAAATTTTCAAATATATTTCTAATAAAGTAACAATGTACTAATTGTAATAACATGAAATAACAATAAATAAATTTACACTATTTTCCAATTTAAATGAAAAAATCAAATTGTCAAAAATGTTTTTAAGAAAATAATAAACAATAATTTTTTAATAATAATAATTGAATAATAAGTTTAAAATGAAATAATAATAATAATAATAATAATAATAATAATAATAATGCTTACAGTTAGAGCGACCAATGGCTGTGTCATTATAGTTTGCAGTACTATTACATTAAGAGCCCCTTTGATATTATCGACGTTGGAGTAGTCATATCCCTGTCCGTAGTAGAGTACCCCAACGAATACTGCCAAACACTGTAGGAAAAACACATTTGTGACTCGATTATATGAAACAGCGACAAATATTTCTATGAGTAATATAGGATTAAGCTTTTTTGGAGCATGTCTCATAGTAAACGAATGCACCACGTTCCATAAAAATCTTAATCTTATATTACTCATAGAAATATTTGTCGCTGTTTCATATAATCGAGTCACATTTGCATAATTGTGAGCTAATTATTAATATTATAAATAATTATCAATGACATACGAGCATTTGAATTAATCGAGTTCGTATCAAACTGGGATTTCGCATGAAAACAATGTATGATCGCCACAATACAGTAACCAGTTGTTGCCAATAACCAGCCCTGTAGCCCGACCCCAGAGTTGACAAGTTTAATGCAAACATATTATCCACATTATATCCAGGGTTAATTGTATTTACACTCCTTTCGAGAAAATTGTCGCATATTCCCTTTATATAAAGACAATTTAAATATAAATACAAATAACTGGTTGAATGAATTTTGAAATATTACATTGACTTTGCTTTTAGTTTGCACATAATTACTATCCATTATTGCTATTTTGGGATAAATGATATAAAGTGATTGAAAATTATTAGGCATATGAGTAAAACAAACCCAATTCCCGTAAATAATAATCCGATGGATTGTAGGTTTTTGGGCAAAGCTTTTGAAAAAATTAAAATTTTTATATTTAATTAAATAAATATAATTATAATATTATAATATTACTAATCCTTGCGATGAAAAGAAATCTTTTGCTTCGCCTATAAATGCAATGAAATTAATTTACATTTATAATAAATATATAAAATATGAATACCGATGGACCCCATGAAAGCTACCCTTCCGTCGGCCATAAGTAATAGACTGTCGAAGAGTTGAAAGACTGGAGACGAGGGCTGATGTATAGTACAGATGACAGTCCGTCC